TCGTACAAACTCATCAAAGACTCAAAGGTGCTGAAAGATTGCAATAATTTATTTTAAAAAACCAATTTTATTGACAAATGTATAGTACATGTGCTACATAGTAGTATACAGGGGGGCTATGAAACAAGAAACAAAGGAAAGTAATACTTGGAGGGACTATGAAGGAGGGACCACCAAAGAGCCAGGAAGGAGGGGACCATGAAGGAGGACAGGGATGAGGGACCACCAATGGCAAGAGAGGAGGGTCTGAAAAAGAAGGGAGGAGGGTCCACCAATGGCCAGAGAGGAGGGTCAAAAAAGGAAGGGAGAGGGTCACCAACGTCCAGAGAAAAGGGTCCAAAAAAGAAGGGAGGAGGTCCACCAACAGCCAGAGAGGAGGATGCACAAAGGAGCCAGGGAGAAGGGTCCACTGAAAAAGGCCAAGGAGGAGGGCCCACCAAGGAGGAACAGACAAAAAGAGAGGATGGAGCTCACAAGGACTTTGACGAAAATTTTTCAAACCCCCAGCTCCCACGGTGTATCTTAGTAAGCATTCTGAGCAGCTTAATATTACATAATATTGCAATTCTATTGCAAACAAGTATCTTCGAATATCACAAAGTCACACTCTAGCAATGGTCTATCGACGTTTATCTAACATGGATCACACTTGCAGCATCTTACATACCAGCATCAGACTTATAGTTTTCTTGTAATTTCTTCTCATTCAAAGTCATGTTGCTCTTACTTATGTATCACTTTGTCTTAGAATATAAATATAAATATTTTTGTATATTTTTGATCTGATTCTGTCAATAGTATCTATGAAAACCTTTTTCTTGCCGGTTTCCTGATGGATATGATGGTCGACCAGCCCCCCCACATGGAGTCATTTGAATCACCATCATCAGCACCATCACCGCTGTTATTTTTGGACCATGGTCCTAGCGACACACCCAACTCATTCTCATTAGCTCCATTACCACACTGGTACCAATGACCCCAACTCCCTCCCATCTCAACTTCTGACACACATGGTGTGATATCATTGAACTCTCCTGAGCGCTCACCAGTACTCAATCAAAACACCACCCAAAATTCGCCTTTCTTTTCTGATTTCAAGGAGTCATCACCTAGTAGCCCTCAGTCTATGCCCATTGACTCGGAAGACTTGGACATTGGTGCTAGCCGAGTGCTGCAGTCTCTTCATGTCAGCTCACTTAAAAGGAAGTTGCACAAGTTCACCTTCTCTTGCTACAAAGCAGTCTCGTGCACATGCACCTACTCAGAGTGCTTCACCTCAATCTAGTCGCCCCCCCTCTTCATCATGCAAATGCCCTGGTGGCACTGCTCTTTAGCAGACCTCTGCCGCTGCAGAAAGGATGTCTCAGACAGCAGAATCCCTAATGGTGCACCTTGATAGCAAACGTGAGGGTCGTGCTGAGCATGAACACTATAAACGCATGAAACTCGAGAGCGAAATTTGGGCTCATGATCTCAAGGCTCGCAGTGCTCGTGATGAGTGGGAGCATGTGATGTGTCTATCTGACCAAGATCATCTCCACCAGCAGGAGAGGATGACTCAACAAATTGAATTCGCAAGAATTGAGATTGAGCTATCTCGTGCATGTCAAGAGGAGGAGGAGGCTCGAATTCGTCATATTGCCTTGGAGCGTGGTCTTGATCAAAACTAAGTAGGTCTGTACTATGTCATTATGCAACAGGTTTTCAAGAAATGCATTCTATTTTGTACTCGATGGTGCTAACTCAGAGCTCACTAAAACACTCCTTTCTCGAGAAAATCTCAAGTGCAACTGACCCCTCCTAGAGCTCGCCAAAATGCTCCTTTCTCAAGAAAATCTCAAGTGCAACTGACCCCTCCTAGAGCTCACCAAAATGCTCCTTTCTCGAGAAAATCTCAAGTGTGACCTTGCAAGCCAAAAGGAAGATGTATAGGTACAACTACATTTAATATAATACTAACTACCTTTGCTCCAATGACGAAAGCAACCGCGTCTTTGATGTGTTACAAAAATCTTGCCCGTGGTTCCAATGTAAGTCTGATCACCTACTGCGCCACCCTCTTGCTGATCATCCTCTCCTCTGTCACTGTCAGCTCGCCTCGACCTCCAAGTTTGCTGATAGAAACATACATTTGAGTCTTCACAGTGTCCTTTTTCCTCAATTTCAACAATTAAGTTGTGCAGAACAAAGCATGAATGGATCCACATGTGTGCATAGTCAAGGTCCTTCTGGCTTTGGATTGGAATGCGAAGCTCCCGCAGTGATTGGAACCGGCCCTTGATAGAGCTGAAAAAGTGCTCTGAACAAATGTGGACCTAGACACTGGGTGAGGACTATGAAAGTATATTAGTATTGATGCTCACTGTTGACAGGTTATAATTGAATGTCTTTTGCTCAGCCGTCAAAAACCCTCCCAGTGGCCGTTTATATGGCGGCATACACCAGGTTCACACAGCATATGCCAAGTCTGCCCACAACCACTCTCCCACACCAAAAAATGACTCATGATGCCGGGAGACCCTTGTTTGTGCAAATATGTTCGAGTTGTGAAGACTCCCGGGTACGCCAATGACGTAGTCAACGATACGCAGATTGTGAGAAAATATGATGACCTTTTGAATCATAAGTCACTGTGCTGCACACTGAGTTGATAGATACTTACCTGGGCTGTTAGAGAGTAGTCAGAGTTCTTGTCAAAGAACCCTTCACTATGGCAACCAGGCTTCTTGTGTAGAGGGGACGGAGTCCCATCTACACAAAGAAAACCACTGCACCATTCACGACATGTCTTCTGCTCCACATACACTTTTGCCCGCTCTCACTCAATCTGATCCTCACGATCGAGCAGATCAAAATGAATGGTGTGATCATGCAGTTGCAAGATTGTGATCATGACTCATTTGTAGCAGTTGCAGACGGTCCCCACAGACACTCCAGCCTAATCAGATATGTCTTTGGTAGTCGCAGCATTGCCATAATGGCCAACACCATTGAGAAAGATCGCGAGCTGGACTGCAACAGGAAGTTGCGGGTTATTTGAGTTGCTATGGAAGATGGGGTGCACTTGAATCAACGTCGTGAGTTCATCAAACACCTCTGCATCAATGTGAAGCTTGTGGCGAAACTTTTCAGGTGATAACAGCACCCACTCTTGCAGCAGGTGCAGCTGGGGCGCATGAGTCAGAGATGGACGCACATCAAGTACCTGACACTTCTCCACCTCATCATGTAGTGCCCCGATCACATCAATAAAATGCATAAACACTTGATCACACATGTGCGGGATATCGAGCGATAGAACATCAGAATACACTGTTGAGAGCGATGTTAGAGAGCTGATGGACAAAGCAGATACAATGGATGACATAGAAGACTCTGGCCATGCTGGTGATGCGGTCCATATGCTGACATCTGACCCTCCATTATCATCTGATCGCTCATCAGAGCTGTCGTCAGAGCCCTCCTCGAGTAGCTGATCAACCACGAATTCAACAAGCTCCATGTATCGTGCGACCGTAAGGTCATTGGTCGTTTGCTTCAGGCTACGAAGTAGTTTTTTCCGATCCGATTCGAGCCCCTTCAGTGACAAATTCCGTATTATACGGGCCACCCGACCTACATAATATCCCATATGAGACGGGCCAGCGGATTATGGGCCCATGTTGTGTATATTCTCGATGATGACGGATGGGCCGGGACACATATTATTTCCGATGGAGACGGGTGGGCCCATGTATGCCAATGATATATATATCCTTGATGTTGACGGATGGGCCGGGGGAATATGATCATTCATGGAGATGGGTGGGCCCATCTGGGTAATATGTAGAGTAGGATATTATAGACAGCTGGGCTGAAGAGAGATGTAAGGCAAATATTGTTATATAGACGGGTGGGCCGACGGGGGTGTATTACATATATGGGTGGGCCAAGGTAGGGGAATATTACATAGATGGGTGGGCTGATGTGGGGTGTATTACATAGATGGGTGGGCTGATGTGGGGTGTATTACATAGATGGGTGGGCCGACGTGGAAAGTATTACATATACGGGTAAGCCGACAAAAGGGATATCAAATAGACGGGTGGGCCGAGGGTGTGATAAAATATCTATTACATAGACAGGTGGGCTGAGGTGGGGTATAATTATATAGATGGGTGGGCCAACGTAGGATGTATTATATAGACGGGTGGGCCAACATAGGATGTATTACATAGACAGGTGGGCCGACATGGGGGATAATACATAGATGGGTGGGCTGACGTGGGGGAATTGTACATAGATGGGTACATATATGGGTGAGCCTAGATACATTTCATCAAGACATACAGCTGATGTAGCCACCAGCAATCAAACACGTAGGATACATGTACACTATGAGTGCATATACCTACCATCGACCACCGAATCTAAACCCCTAAGCACGAAAACATGAATTGACCATGTGTGGCATTGACCAATAATCGAGGACTGAAGTGGAAAAACCCCACACCTGAACCCTGGTGTGCAACATATCCTATTTCTAAGCATGGACACCAGAAGCACAACACTCACAAAAATATAAATGTCAAATTTTCAGTGCAAAACCCCAAACCGAGATCTACCAACCCCCGAACCCCGAAATTGTGGACTGCCGGGTTTCGGGGTTCGGGGGTCCCAGAACTCGGAACTCAGTATGACACAACAAAAATATATGTCGGGGTTTGGGGGTTAGTAAAATGTTTAGAGATATACATAGGTTGATATAAACATGTCTGAAAAATGTCGTGAGTCTCAAATGGCAAATCCTGAGTTCTGGGTTTCGGGACTCGGCACCCGGCACCCGGCACTCGGGGTTTGGCACTGAAAATTTGACATTCGGGTGTTAGGGTTTAGGGTGATATCTACCTCAATTTACAGTTTCGAGTTCTGGATATCGGGACTGGTCATTAAATTATTCAATTGTGGCATAGGTAACATGCATTGAAAAAGATTTATGTACATCTATCACTGAGCAATTATGTAGCCATTTCAACCTCCTCACCAGGAAGATCAACCTTCCCCTCAACATCCAACTCCTCATCAGAAGAATCATATTCTGGCAGGAGGTTACCTGGTTCATTAGGGACCACAATATTGCTGGAGGATTCTGGCAAGAGGTTGCCTGGTTCATCCGGGAGCACAATTTCGCCGGAGGATTGTGGACCCTCAGGCTGAACTTGGGTGGGCTCAACCATGAGACCTACCATAGCAGATCCATCCTCAACCATCAAGGGTGTGGGTTGCATCACTGAAATGTCCAAATCAATGAGGTTGGAAAGTGCGGAGGGGAGGGGTGAAATGGACGGGTGGGGACCGGATTGATCAAGCAAGATTGTTGCATCGGCCGGTGTGTCCAGAAGTGAAAATGAAGGGTGCCGGTCGACCACTGTGCGCCGGAGGCTCTCATGGAGGCGTTGCAGGGTATCAAACTTAGCATCCTGCTCCTGCACCCGAGCCTCAAGAATAGCGATGCGAGCTGCACCATCCCGAATCGCGATTGCCATGGAATGGAGATCCGGCATGGGAACATCGAGTGCTGCACGAGGCACTGCGAAGCTCGAAGACCGAACAGCTAAGTAAAAAATCAGGTCAGCAGGTCATCAAAAGTTTGGGTGACTTACGAGCTGGTGCAGGTGCAGGTGTCTTCTTGGTAGTGATGGTCTTGCTGCGACCACGTGACTGCACCTGGGGTGTAGTTGCAGCAGGGATGGCTGGAGTTCGGGATGGGCCACGAGATTGACTACGAGTTCGGGCCCTTGACAGGGAGGGAGACGGAGCAGTGGATGGAGCAGGGGCAGATGTCTTGGAACGCGTCCGGCCAGTGGTAGACTTCCCTCGGATTTGTTTGGGCGGGGATCCCAGAGATGCTGGGTTGCATTTGATCTTCTTGGTGGAGCAGCGGATGCAAGACAAGCAGGGGAGGTTGGTCCTCTTGTCAAAACGGGTTGCGCAGGGCCAATCCTCCTTGACGCAATAATGGCAGGGGTTGTTCTGTGGTATCCGTTGGTAGATGGACTAGGGGAATTAATTGGAGTACTCACCGGGCCAGGAATGGTGATATCAAATGTGGTATTGGCCGGGGGGTCACCATCCGAAGCGCTGGAAGTATCATCAGAGGACTCCTCAACTTCTGGACGACTGCCGGAGGTTGCCTGATAGATTGTAAGTACGCATGTGAGTTCCGGGCAAGCTTGTAAGACTTACCCGAGCCTCCAGACGACTGACGGGAGATTCCTAATGCAATGGGCATGAGTCAAAATGATATATGCGAGTTCCGGACCTGTCCGAAAGACTCACCATGACCTCCGGACGCCTGCCAGCAGTCAGCTGTGGACACATGAGCATATATATGAGTTCCGGACGACTAAATCAGACTTACCGAAGCAGGCCCAAATGATTGCTTCTTGGGGGAACCAGGTGACCGAGGCAACTGGGGCGTCCTCACAACAATGGTGGAGAGCTGGGGAAGAACGACCTCCGGCACTCTACGCGAAATCGGCTGCAACAAATTGAGAGCATGTCACAAATGAGCCAGAACACATACCTGAACAATTGGGTCTTCATCATCTTCCGACTCCACAAACGGCTTTGACTTGGGGAGTTGAGTTGACTTGACACGCTTGCGACCTGTTACGCACTCAAATAGATCTGTTAGGCAGAGCCCTAAGAGGGGCGTCGTCCGCTAACGTTCGTGACGTAACCGGAAGGATCCGGTATAGCAAGTGATACTGGCGACGACGAGTCGGCAGTGATCACAGTACGCGCGTGTCACGTGACTTCAGAGACGGATGTCTTAGAAGTCGCTCAAGGTAAGGACTGTCTTGTCCGAACGATGAGGTCGATCGAGGTAGACTTAGTCGCGATGAGCAACTAAGAAAAGATACTAGAGACTGAAGCCAAAGGGGCGTTCAGAGGGAAGTATGTTCCAGGGAAGATTGAGTAGATTCAAGTTAGAGAATCTAGTACAGGGTGACCGACTACTTATACTAAGTGGAGAGGGTTAAGGGCAAGGCTACCGCACAGTAGGTAAGGGTAAAGGGGAAACGAGAATGGTATAGGTGCGTTGGCAACATAGCCAGATTAGTGGTGGGTGGTCGAATGTGGAATGAGACAGAGAAACGTTGGCACGAACCAACGGTAAGAATACAACGTGCGGGAATCCGCAGTCAGAAGGAACAGAAAGAGGAAAGCCACATTGGTGGCACGAGTCAGACCGAGTCATAGGTGCGGGACCACATTGGTGGTCGAATCAGGGGAAGAATGTGCGTGCACGTGCATAGAGGCGGGCGATGCGAGGGACGGGAACAGTCCCGAGGATCCGGTCAACGGAAAGTCGGTAAAGGAGGACGAGCCGGTAGATGGTGAGGGCGAGGATGAAGGGAAAATGATAGGGGGGCCACGTGACCGATGTTACTTGTAACACGACCCTTCATCGCCGACTTCGGAGGTTGGGAGGAGTGTCCAGAAATCATCGGGGACTTCCTCTTGTTGCTCCCTCCGACTTCCGGCTCCAGGTCAACAGAAACAGCCTTACCTTTTCCTTTGTCCCGGAACTCGGTACCCGTCTTGCTGGAAGGTCCGGCGACGACGGGAGGGGAGGAAATGACAGGGGCGGGGGAAGGAACAGGTGTGGGGGAAGGGACAGGTGGAGACGGAAGGTTGACAGTCAGTGGGCCAGTGGAAGGATTAGGAACAACAGGGAGATCACAGGAATTGTCACCCAATGCCTCCCAGGCACGGACTTGCTTGCGCCAGGCGTGTCTAGCCACCCGGGGGTCATCATGGCCAATGCCGTGCCAGTTGGGCAATGCCCGGGGAGTCATGGAACGCACCCTCATCAGCTCCTTAGAGCAGGACACCACAATGCCAGGGATGTATTCCCCTTTCTCATGGGCCCGGATGATGTCAGCCTACCCGGATATTAGAAACATCAATGGTAAACTAATTTAATGAGTGCAACTTACCAAAAGAGTGGTGACCTGCTTTGTCAAAGCGAGTTGGACGTCCACTGAGCCGGCCGGGATGTGCCGAGCGCCAGCAATGATGCCTACAAGTTGAGCAGTGGATGCCTTGAGGTCGGCCAATGAAGATTGAACTGGAGTAGACATTTGGATTGAGTTGACAGATGTGAGAATGTTGAAAGCAGGGTGAAATCTGTTATCACTAGAATGAAGTTTCAAAGAAACAATACAATTGAAGGACAATGTTGAAAATCATTGATTGTTTGTCTTTGTTTGGTCATGGTTCAACTTTCGGCAATCGCCGGCCATGTGTTGAACTTCGATGTTATCTGTTATCAATCAGTTCATAAGTTCATCAGCTCATCAGATATCATGAGCTCTCAACCTGGGGTCAGATTTCATGACCCTCCGGTCACTAAATTCACCTCAATGGATGTGGATGAGTCCTCCAAGTCCCGTATGTCCCTTGGTATGTTTTTTTTTGCTGATTTCAGTGAATTGATCTGACATGGTTTAGATCCATTAGATGATATATACCTTGGGCCGGATGATGAGTTAGACTCTGATTCTGGGTCGTCTGGTGGTTTGGATCTGTTGAATGCGATTCCCGGTATGTTTCTCAATTCAAATGTACATATTCTACATGTGCAAATTCATCACATACTTCCAGATCCATTATATCCGGCGCTGGTGGATGGACTGGCCCTGTATGATGACCCGGACTTGTATCTTGGTCCGGAGGATACCTTGATTTCGTCTGATGATGCTCCAGCTGTACCCGATTTTCCTATGGCTGGTGAGGTTATTCTTTTCATCTCATGTTCATTTTCCATGGCATTTCCCCAGTGAATGAATCGACTCCCGAACCTCATCCGGTTACTCCGGCTGTACCAGAGGCACCCATACCTTGTAGACATATTCATATCATTTCATGTTTTTTATTCATGTTATCTCCCAAGCTAATTCAGAAACTCCCGAACGTCAATTGCCCAAGCCGGAACTCAACAATGAAGCACTGCGTGCCATGGTTCAGGAGTTCATGCCAATTGGATCTTATGATCAAGCTGAAAGTATGTATACAACAGTTGATTATTTATCTCTGCTAATGTTCTGCAAGTTCAAACAATTGTAGATCGCCTGGGTGATTACCAACAGCGTCATGGAAATCTTCCTGCCCCTACAGTAGCACAACTTCTTGAGGCTGACAGACCATTCAGGATGGCATGGGCTGAAACATGCGACAAACTGCGGAAAGCAGATGCGGACCTCCGGAGGATGCAAAGGGTAAGGGAGTCAACCTCCGAAATGCTGAAGGTATTAGATACCCTCATTGAGTTCTTTGAGGACTCAAGTAACATGTAAATATCGATCAATGTCTGATAGTAGACACATTGCAGTATACTTTACCTACTCAGTACTCGCTGCCCGGTTGTCTGTGCTTGGTACTCCGTACTCGGTACTCGGTGCTCGGTGCTCGGGGTTCGGGGTTCGGTACTCAGTGCTCGGTGCTCGGTGCTCGGTGCCCGGTGCTCGGTGCTCGGTGCCCGGTGCTCAGTGCTCGGGGTTCGGTGCTTGGTGCTCGGGGTTCGGTGCTTGGTGCTCGGGGTTCGGTGCAGTATACTTTACCTGCTCAGTACTTAGTACTTGGTACTTGTATACTCCACCTACTCAGTCCTCGCTGCCCGGTTGTCTGTGCTCGGTACTCGGTACTCGGTACTCGGTACTCGGTACTCGGTGCTCGGTGCTCGGGGTTCGGGGTTCGGTACTCGGGGTTCGGTACTTGGGCCTTGGTACTCGAGATTTGGGATTTGGGATTTAAGATTAGGTGGTTAGTACTTTGACATATACACAATAGCACATATGACATTACACATGAGGGCAGGAAGATATATCTACATTAAGTGTGTCCCCGTGCTCTGGTTACTCTAGGTGTACTGTCTACTGGCATTTGCAACTTACTCCGGGTCGTCCTCGTGGATGGTTCAACTGTGACTCTCTTGCCCCGCCTCCTTTTCTGTGCCGGCGGCGTGATACTGTCTTCCATTTCAACATCATCTCTAACCTCGCTGGTTGCGTCTTCAGTTAACCCAGCAAGGAGGTCTCCCATTCGCGATGTCACTAATGCACCTTTTTTGGCTGGCTTGGCCGGGCGAGGCTTTGGAATTGCACGTGGGACTACCGTCCCTTTGGGTGTAGGACCTCCTGTCCTGGGTTTCTTCAGCGGATGTCTCCTGTCAGCCAAGTCATCATCCACATCATCCTCGGTATGATTAGTGGCACTCTCCTTATCACTCTCGGCTTCTGTCGACGAATCCCGAGGCCTTCGGATGGTAACCCTCTGCTGCTTTCTCACTATACAAGTCTGAGGAGAGGGCGACTTGCCAGATATGACAGATGGTACCATGTCCCCATCATTGTTCTTCCATGCTTTGAACAGAAATGTGGGACCTTCGCCTGTTTCCTGCCGAGCACGCCAGAAATGGAGCAAGGCAGTCGTGTCCCAATTTTGCAGCTTCGAAGGCTCCTTCAAGTCAACATCCGCCGGAAGATACGTCCGGGTCCATGCATTGAACAATTTGTCAGATGATGCGACGAGAAACTCACGATAGTGCGATGTAAGAAAGGCCCTCACTATGGCCTTCTTCTCCTCAAGTTTCGTGTCCATGATGTCCGGAAGGAGTGGCATACCCTCCCTGTCCATTTCGAGTTCGAAAGCTGGTTTTCGAATTCTTTTTCGACCTCCCTTGACCTGATGTCCTCCATCCCGTGCCACGGAGCCTATCATTGTGATGCTCAACATGTTCAATCTGGTATACATGGTTCAAACACTCACCGAACTGTTCCTGCGCATACTCCTGCCACACTGGCTCGATGTCCTCCCAGTCCTTCGTCTTCATGAAGCTGTCCCCATTTCCTAAGGCCTCGTCATCATCATGCCTGCATGAATATTTTGAGATGAAAGATCTGCGTCAATGGATAAATGTACTCACATCCCGAACAGCACCTCTCCCTTTTCATTCTTCCAAGCCGACATCACAAAAACTCTCATCCCACATTGCCTCCACATCTCATTCGAAAAGTGCTCCATATATGCCGGACCCTTCTTACAAGCTACTTGTGCTTGTATCTCCGGAGGCGGACAGTTGTTGGACCACTCCTCCGCTGTTTCTTTCGCCTTCTCCAACTCGTCGTCGTCCAATTCAGCCATGACTCTCTTCACCGCCACCTGATAATGTTTGAACATACCAGGATCTCCTGGCTTTACCCCAGACTCGTCCTCAATCCTCTTCAGCACCTCTTCGCATTTCTGCTGGTAGACCACCATCCTGGGTGTCCATTTCCTCCCATACTTGATCATGTCCTTCCTTTCCTTCTTTTTCTTGTTGTTGAACAACCAAGTCTTGTACACCTCCCACAAGTATAGCAGATAGGCAGTGCATGACCTACAACATAAAGATATCAGTTTGGAGCCTATAGCACCACTCTGAGTTGTAAACCTACAACGGCCTCTGCATGGACCGAACCCCCCGTGTGCGCTGTCTGTTCGTGCTATGACCATGATGTGGTGTCCGTCTGCATTTCAGACGATTTGGCACCTTACCACCTTGAGCTGCTGCATGTCCCAGATGACATCATGAGCAGGGAATGCGTACTTGGGAGTATGTCATCACACTTCTGTTTTGGTAATGCATGTATCAACAGCATTATGTTGGCGAAGGAGGGCTTAGTATTCCATGAGTCAGCTGCTGTGAGCATGATGGTTTGCAAGCCCTGTCTATCCTCATTGTGCAAAGACAGATTTCCTCAACTCACACTGGCGAACAACCTGTATCGTGGATGTTTGCCTGTTGAGTTCCAGGATCTGACATGGGTTGAGGAGAAGATTTGTGTCATTTACTCCATCACAGTGCACATCACACGGCTCTTCCAGTCATCCAACCCTGCTCAGCCTAAGGTCTTTCATGGGAATACATGTGCACATGATATGAATGTGGTATCCACGGTGTCTGTCTTGCCCCGCACTATTGCTGACATAAATGGTTTCATCAGCATTGTCTTTATCGGTCCAGATAAGTTTGACCCAAAGCGACTTGCAACGCTGTTCTGGGTTTGCAGAAATAAGATTTGGTCCTTCCTCACATGGCTTACACAACACAATGATCTCTTTGCAGGTATCACATTGGACCAGACAGTAATGGATTATCACCCAGAGGATGGCCTGCTGGCTGGACTGTGCGATGGAGTTGTACAGGACCACAAGCTCGACGCTCGTACCGTGTTCGAGATTGAGACAGCAGGTTTCACTCCGCATCCCTGCTCATTTACTGGAGCAGAAAGCAGATCATGCCAATGATGCACCCATCATGATAGAGAAAATGGGTGTGTCTGACCTGGAGTGTGACAAAGTTAGTGGGAGGCATTTCATGGCATCCACTCTCCGCAATCTCCAGCCACAGTCTGCTATGGATGCACTGCCCAGATCTTGTAGTTCATCGTGGTGCTGATGCTGTGCCAGAATACCACAACTACTGTCTTTTTCCCGGTATGTACCCCACCTTATATCCCTATGGTGTTGGAGGCTTTGAGGACCCCACCTGTCCTACTGCACTGTCATTCGAGCATCAGGCAAAATACTACCTCTCCATAAGCGATCGAAGCTTTCATTACCACTACTCCTTCATCTTTGTTGTACTGAATATTTTACAGCAACGCCAAGCACATCTGCATACACATTTCACGGTAAAGAAGTCCAGCTTTGACTCAGATGCTCGTCAATTGACCAGTGTATCTCCGCAAGTGCTCCAGCATCTTTCTGTCCAGCTCGAATGTGAGAGCAAGCTGTCGAACCTCTCTCCAGAAGAGCAGAGTGCATTGAAGCTTCTGCGACAAGTGAACATGTTGTCTGCTCGCATACCTGGCTCTCAAGTGTCCAAGATTTTCATGCACAACAAGATTCGTAACTACTATGGGTACTTCGGGCTCCCCCACATCTTCTTCACTTTTAATCCAAGCGCTGCTCACAGTTTTATATTCCAGGTTATGTTTGGAGACACGACAGTGGACCTTTCACAACGCCTTCCGCATATTCCAGAAGGGTGGCTGCATGCAATTCGCTTGGCAAAAGACCCTGTTGCTGCTGCTGAGTTCTTTGAATTCTTATTCCAATGTCTTTTCCGTTACTTGTTCGGTTGGGACTTCAATAAGGGACAGTCTACTGCGGAGGGTGGAATTCTTGGCCATATTCAAGCATTTTATGGTACAACCGAATTCACAGAGTGCAGTGGCTTGCACGGTCACTTCTTATTGTGGCTCGTTGGTGGTCTCAACCCTTCCCAGCTCCATGACAGGCTACATGGTAATGATCAATATCAAAAGCGGTTCTTTGCATTCTTTGAGGAGGTCATCCACCATCATTTGCCTGACATCGAAGATAACATTGACCCCACTTTCAAACCTCGCACTCAGAGACCTCCCCAACCGCCCTCAGTGGATTCACCTCCAGACATGCTGAACTCTTGGGATCATGCCTTTGCTACAGAGGTGAAGCATTGTGGTGAGGCTCTTCAACGGCAAAAATGCCATGCTGTGTCACAAGTATGGGAATGATAATCGCTGCAAGTTCCTTTTCCCTCATGAAGTCATCGAAACTTCGCATTTTGATGCAGACTCCAACTCTGTCCTGCTAATGTGCAGGGACTCCACAGTGAATTACTTCAATCCATATGTCCTTGTTTTCTGTCGCCACAATCATGATATAAAGTGCATACTGTCAGGCAAGGGCATGAAGGCTGCAATGTTTTATGTTTCAGACTACATTACAAAGATGGATGTCAAAACATATGAGATGCTGTCTCTGCTGTCCCGTGCAGTCACACGCATCCCAGCCTCTCATTCTTTGACATCGGTTGTTGATAATGCAAAGATGCTGCTGCACAAGTGTCTTACACAATTTAGTTGCCAACAGCAGATCCATGCGCAACAAGCCATGAGGTATATCCTCGGGTATTCTGATGGAGTCTCATCACATGATACGGTGGCCATGCTCTCTTCCCTTTTAATTGCTCATGTGAAGGAAAATTGCAGGAGATTAGCTGATGGTGCTGCTGCTGCAGATCTCGATCCTTATGTTGAAGATGATGAGTCAGAGGCTGTTTGAATGTGCATTACCACTGATCACATGGGCACCTTGATCGAAGCCAACCAGATTCAGCACTATGTCTTACGTGGTGATTCCCTGAAGAACATGTCATACTACGACTTTTGCAGGTGTGTCCACATCGAACACAAGACCCAAAGTGCGAAGATCAAGAATGTATCTGACTCTCGTGTATTTCAGAGACATCAGTTGAGACCCAAGCATCCTTTTTTGAAACACACGAGCTCGTAGAGCACACCAACATGGAGCGTGGTCATGGACACTCGGAGCTCATGCCTCACATTGTCAGGATGTCGATCCCACAGAGTTCTAGCAAAAAGATGTGGTCTTTGTTTGCATTAGCACATTTCAAGCCTTTCGGAATTGATGTGCCCCTGCTACACGAATAGTGCTGCCGCAGTCCAGTTCTGAACCTCAGTTTGAACCTGAACCTTTCCGAACCGGACACATGGTCCGGTCCAAGGTTCGGCCAAGACTCAGAACCAAACCTTTCCAGAGGTTCAGGGTTCGGGCTGGTAGTGAATAGGTTTGAACCCATTCGAACCTCTCAATTTTTGTAGGCTTCACACTTTTTTTAAATATGTAAGTATTTACTATGTGTCAATATATGCAAATGCATGTGTCTGCAACCCACACAGGTTTGAGCTGGGTGAAATTGACGTGGTCCTGTTGCACCTGCTGCAGTCGTGATGTGCTGTGAGTCGTGACACAGTACTGAACCATCACAACATGTAGGTATCTTATGTTGCTATATGAATTCCAAACACTTTGAACTCTTGCTAATGATCAATATAGGTAAGTACTACTTGGGAATGTTATGAGCCATGCTGATCAAAGTCATTGCTTATTGTTCGCAGGAAGTGAGTATGTCAAGATTTTCGAGCTCAAACCATTCTGATCCAAATCATTGGCCATTGTTCCTCATTCAAACAAGAGCTGTGCTGATCCAAGACGTTGGCCACCGTTCACAGGTCGTGAGTGTGTCAATCCTTGTTTCAAGCAACAGCCATGCTGATACAAGTTGTTGCCCACCGTTTGCAGTTCGTGAGTCTGTCAATCTTTGTTCGAGCTCGAGCTATGCTGATCTAAGCTGTTGCCCACTTCAAAGACAAGGATTTGGGATACATTGCAGGAATGGTGTTTGGGGCCGGTTCTGAAACGGTGAGCTCTTACATTGCATTGTGTCTTAAGTTGACAACTGTTGTAGACTGTGTTCACAATCACAATCATAATGATGGCTGCTGCCACTCACACAGATGCGCAGGCTCACATACAAGAGGAACTCGATAATGTTGTGGGGCATACACAGTGTAGGTTATGCCTTTTCTTTGTGCATCAACTGACTCAAATAACTCCTGATCAGTGCCGACATTTGCTGATCAGGAAATGCTGCTGCAAGTCATTCAGGGCTATCGCAAATGATCCCGAGGTTTTCCCAGAACCACATAAGTTTAATCCTCAGCATTGGATCGATGATGCAGGTCGTGTGCGCGGTGATCTCAAGTTTTTCACTTTTGGTTTTGGCCACCGGTAAGTGGTATCATTCATCTCTCCACCTTTTCCTTTCAAGTTTGTTCATTTGACTTGGATCTAATTTGCAGGTCACTCACAGATTGATGTTTAGTCAAACGTACATGGACTACCTCAACGAGAAGGCTGCGACGTGCAACCTACTAATGGATATTTGGTATGTTGCACATGTGGACTCTACTCTGGATGGGGGACTGATATGTTCCTTGTCGGGCACTCTTCATTAACATGGCTCTTATTCTGTGGGCTTGGACTCCCAGTCAACATGTCGTGAATCAGTCTGTCTTCATCAACACGGCTCTTATTCTGTGGGCCTTCCGCCTTTTGGAGAATCCTGCAGCAAAGATTGACACGCTTGCATTCTCTGACATTGCAAACATACATGCTACTCCATTTGAGATATGTTTTACAAAGAGGATCGATGAGAATGTGATCAGGGAACTATGCGCACCGGGCAAATAAAATGTGTTTATTTTAGAAACTTGAATTCAATTTTTGTACAAAGGGGTTCTCCTTGCGTTATAGAGTCTTTTTGTTATCTGTCCAACTCAAATTACATGACAACTCATAGTCTCAAGCCTATACAACCAAACAGATGGTCCAAGCTTAGTTGAACCTGGTTCGAACATGAACTGGACCTCCCGAATGTGTTCGGTGACGTTCAGTCCAGGGTTTGACTAAATGGCTGAACCGAACCATAGGTTTGGTTTGGCGTTCAGAAAATTTGCTCCAAGAACTGGACCAAACCAGACTTTGGCAGCACTATACATGAAGGTGAGGATGTCATAGCTGCTTATGAGAGTTATATGTTTGCCCCCAGAGCTCGAG